GAAACACCAGTGACCGAACATTAAGAGCAACTGTATTCAATTAATGATGCAATGCATTTTAAACCACTTTGGTGACAGTTTGACAAATTATAATGGCAGAAACACATAAGGTACAGCTTGATGCTTATTAGTGGGATGTATTTTAACACGATTCTTGGTGTACATCAAGAAAATAATGTGTTTTTCTATGTTTGATTTCTTGTTAATACTTAACCAGACTTCTACAATGTTTACCTGTTTTCTGACTTGCGCTAACAGACAGTTTGACACTTACGGCATTTCCAAATCTTTCAGATTAACGTTTGAGAAGTTTTGCCTACAGCATATAGAATTCACATAGGATTTTTTTGAGCTCTCTCAACCCCAAGCTGGTTGAAGCTGCTCAGCCGGTGCCTTGTTCTGCTGAATGGAGATTGATAGGGTTTTTTTCCGTTAAACGGGAGTTGTTCCCTGACACTGTTTCCATCGTGCTGCTGAGCAGACAGCAATCACACAATAAAGTTCTTATATGGAGCGGGTACCTCACAAGGTTGATCGGCTGTTTCCACAGACAGTCCAGCTTTGGCTCGACTGCAGCAGGACCCTCCTCCCGCTGTCGGTGTGTCCTGTTATTCCCGTAATGTAAAGAGAATCGCATTTCTTTTTCTATGTCTCCAGACAGCATGTAGCATCGCCAGAAGTAGTTGATAACAGAATAATCACAACTTTCGTGAKAGTAGACATCATGGGATGCCTAGTCCCAGCGAGTTAGCGACTTGTACTTCCTGTTTCGTACAGGCATGCGTCTGACGTAATGACACTGCGTAGCCTGGCAGATACGCTCTAATTAAAAGAAAAAAAATTCCTGTATCTGTGTCATGATCTGGAACATCACCAAAATTTAATGGTGTGTTCCTTGGGCCAGTACCCACATGTGGTAAAAATGTCATGACAATCAGTCTACAAGTTTGAGTAATGTTGTCCACAGACAGACAGATAGACAGACAGACAGACAGAACGACAGACATACGCAACTGAAAACTTTACCTCCCCACTTGGCGGAGGTACAAAATAGACCAACATCGGCCGACACCGATGTTAATGCCGATATATTGTGCATTCCTATTTAGAATCACGGGCCTCATGCAAGAACATGTTCGTATTATTATCCTACATTTCTCTTTCTTTTCATGTCACGTCAGGTTTAACAAATTCTTCTATCTTCATGAAAAATGTGTAAATGAGCAGCGTAAACCTGATGAATGCGTATCCAGGTGCTCACGCACGAGGAGGAGATTAGCATAACTACCACCCTAAAAACACCATAAAAGACTATAGTTCCTGCCCCACATAACAGGAAACATCCATTCGTAAACGACATCACAAAGCAAAAAGAAGAACTTCATGAGTTTGTAAATTAAAGTCCTGCTTTCAAAGATCCNATGTTGTCCACAGACAGACAGACAGACAGACAGACAGACAGACAGACAGACAGACAGACAGACAGACAGACAGACAGACATACGCAACTGAAAACATTACCTCCCCACTTGGCGGAGGTACAAAATAGACCAACATCGGCCGACACCGATGTTAATGCCGATATATTGTGCATCCCTATTTAGAATCACGGGCCTCATGCAAGAACATGTTCATATTTTTATTCTACATTTCTCTTTCTTTTCATGTCACGTCAGATTTAACAAATTCTTCTATCTTCAGGAAAAATGTGTAAATGAGCAGCGTAAACCTGATGAATGCGTATCCAGGTGCTCGCGTACGAGGAGAGGAGATTAGCATAATTACCACCCTAAAAACACCATAAAAGACTATAGTTCCTGCTCCACATAACAGGAAACATCCATTCGTAAACGACATCACAAAGCAAAAAGAAGAACTTCATGAGTTTGTAAATTAAAGTCCTGCTTTCAAAGATCCAGAAAMGAAAATSTGTCATTTTTAGCAGCTTCAGCTGTGGAATTATAGGAGCTGCTAAAGCTGAGGAATAAAATGTGATGTTAATGTCGTGTCTCCTGTGGGTCGTACACAGTCACAGAAATAAAAATCTAAATCATATTCATCTCTCTCTGGTCCTGCTCTGGTTTTTCTTTGGTCAAATGTTTTTAATTTAAGTGCAAACAACTGTGTTACACAGCTTTCATTTATTCAGAAGAGCAGTCRCGCACCGCTGTTTTTTTTTTGACTGCACCTGAATGACTTTTGTCATAAATTGCCTTTATATGAATAAAAGCCAACAAAATTTAATTGAGTGTTCAACACCTGTCAATAACTGGGAAAAATGAGCTCTACTCTGACCCAGAAAGTGTTCTTAATTGAGGCTGATTGCCAATGTATGGGAAAATAATAATAAGAGGGACACAAAACCACAGCAGCTCATGTTACTAATGATCTGAAATTATTATAGAAATATGTTCAGTTATTACCCACATTAACTGCTCCTGGAATGTGTTGTCCAGTCTACGCAGGCTGTCTGTGAGGAAAATGCCCTGCCATGCCAGGCTGAAGCTGAAAAAACATAATTCCACCCTATTCCTTATGTTCTGCCAAATGCCAAGGATTATACACTTACCCTCCAAATGCTACACTAGGAGGGAGTCCGCAACGTTTTGCATAACGTCCCTGAATAAGTCACTTTAAAATAGAAAAAAGCAAAAATAAAAGTAGATGCATTGTCATAATTATAGCATTTAATTAAAAAGAAATTTATACATGCACATGCACTTTGTTTGCCAATAATGATCCTCCTCTGGCAGCAGAAGTACGTAGCAGGAGCATGTCGCTAACCAGCTCTAGTCACACTGCTTCCACATCTGCTTTTTATATTATGTACTTTGAACATCCTGGAGCACATTTACTTGATCCCTGGCTAATAACTGTAAACCTTCTGTCCAAATCTGGATGTCCGATCTCTGGCCTGTGAATGGGACASTCAAACCTTCGGTGAGATTAAGCAGAATACACAGACAGGCTGTGCACCTTGGCTACTGATTTATGCTCAGATTCTTGTATGACAAAAGCATTAAGCTTAATTTGTRTTTTGGTGGTGCAATTGTGGCAGACACACACATTTTTAAGTAGCAAACTTATGAAAARCTAAACCATAACAGACATCTCACATTAACTTTCTGCAACAATCAGCGATTTGTTGAATTTGAAAAAAAAAGTAGGGAGTTGGATGTTGCCTTGCCTTGGGATGAGCAAACCCCCACCTGCAGAAGACTGCAGACAGATTAGAYAGACGGCTGTTGTAAAAGAAAAAGTAACGTGKTAAAATCGAATGTAAGGACCRGCAAATTMTTATTTTAGAGGTAATTCTGACTGGACATTTCAGCTTTGTAAAACTGCAACTCAAAGTTCAATGATCCCTGCTCTGTTCTTTCACCTAAGGATTAAAGTAGCAAAGCTCAGCTTCAAACGAAACTGTAAAATATGTGGCAGAAGGCTGATTGATCGGAGRGAACGAAGAGAGCTGTCAAAAATGCGAGGACCACCAGAGGAATGGAGCAAATTGGAAAACAAAATCCATATGAATCTAAATGCAGTAATGAGCCGTGGTTTCTGAATTACGTTTCTGAAAATGTGTTGTAAATTCTCCTGCAAGTCTGGCTGAGTTCTAATTTGTTACAGCAAACGCTGTATTTTTACTCTACGTGACTGAAACACCACCCAGCTCATTTACTAAAGTGTGAAAAGAAGAAACTTAATAAAGCTACGGGCAAAGATGGTTAAATACACTTGTGATTTCTTCTATATACTGAATCTTCAGCAACAAGTATGCATGTGTGTTTGRAGATGTGTTGGGTAGAATCTGCTAATAAACAAGCTCCAGACCTGAACTCTTGACACCAGGTAATAAAGTCCTGTCAYAGATTAACTGTTGCATCCATCATCAGCTGCGTTTCCATTGCAAATGTGCGCAACACTTTGTCGATGTTCTGTTAATGTCGAAAAATACAGTTTTGCAWCTGCAGTGTTTCCATTAAGTAAGAAATGCTATTAAAGTCACGCGTGAATACATTTGTTCTCACGATAAGTCATTACAAACATGGCGGCAATGGATGTAAACACATAGCATGTTGCTACCGCGACACTAGCGCTCATCATCAGCCATCAGAGGAGACGTCGGCATATTTTATCGAGGCTTTTGAGCGACAATTTGTAGTCGGTGACGATGAGTTTACTATTTTATACTACTTCTGTGATATTACTACTATTTACACTTCCTGTTATCTTCTTCATCGTCTTTTTCGTCTGTAGAAACAGCCGGTTGTTGATCACGTGACTCCTGTAATGCGAAAAAAGATTTTCCATTGCAGTTTTGCGAAAAACACCTATTTCGATACGGCCGAAAAACCACCTCTTCCTAGCGCAAAAACATTGTCGAAAAACGTGATTTTTTTCGAAACTGACTTGTTTCCATTGAGCAAATTTATTTTTGATATTCTAATTTGTGCATTTTCAAGGTCAATGGTAACACAGCTATTGTAAAGAAGTTAAAAGACGTGAATGTCAGACGTCYAACTTTGTTTTGAAGACTTTAATTAAAAACAATTATCAGTGAAATGCACTGTTATGTTGTGTTTTGTTTCATTTAGAGGTCACGTGTACCCATGTGACTTTAACTCTGGGGTGTCCAGTTCTGGTCCTGATCCTCCATGTTTTGCCTGTTTCCTGTTCCAACTTACCTGGTTTAATGATTCATTGAATTACTTCAGATTGTATTTAATTGAGTTTGCACTAATTGTTTTTTTACATCTGTGCAGAGTACTGCTCAGGTTACTTTTGTTACAACATATRGGTGAACATTTAAAGTTACGAATAAGAAAGGTGGTTCAGAGGATTAAAAAGGCTGAGGTTTAAACTCACAGCTGAATTTTTTTTTTGTTTTTGTTCTTTTTAATCATAGTTTTGCAYGGCTCCTGATTCAATTGCTACATGGCTTTGACCAAATTAAAGCCAAAGATGGAAACGGTTTTATTATTGGGTGATGATATTCTTACTTTTGCAGGAAGAAAGTCGAGTTTTCTTTGCTCTTGGTGAAAGTGACGGGGAGGAATCTCAGAGTGATGTTCATCTTTCTGGCGTGAGCAGCCAGTCTCTTTGCCTGTTCAACAGAGAATTACACAGATGAACAGCCTTACTGAAAGAGTTCATCAACAACTTCAACAGATGAGGAAAATGGAACATTTAATAATCTCATTATGCTAAAACAAACTCAAGAGAGCCAGAGTAGTGAGGAAACTGTGAGATAAAACGTTAATGTTGAACAAAATGAAGAAAAAAATCTTCACTCTTTTGTAAGTCAGCTTTGGTTTTATATAAAACTGATTTATGAAGGTTCTAAATATTATATATTGAACTTTTATTCTATGTGAAATCAAGCTATTTCTCCATTTCAAATTCTTAATAGAGAGTAGAGATGTTAATGCCGATTGTTCATCCCTAATACACGGGGAGAGAAAAAACACCTGAACTGCAGAAACTACACAACTAAGTACAGAATTTCCTTCCTAAGCAYACTTTTTATATTTCTAACTGAGCARACATGACTCACTAAAAAACTCAAAGTATAAATACCAGACTTACTTTGAAAGTGGTTCGAGGAGCCCGGATCATAACGTCTCTAGTGGCACCATCAGAGAATCTCCCAGTATCCTCCAGAAACCTGTAATCTGTGGTGCAGGCAAATGATACAAAACACATACACAAAATAAACCGTTTATAATACCACACATGTACTACACACACAATAGCACATGATGGGTGGATCTTAGAACAACACAGTTTATTGTACAATGTAAAAAAAAAAACACTATAAAATAGGGCTGGGTGATATGGCCTAAGATCAATATCATGATATATTGACCAGTTCACCTCGACAACGATGAATGCACAATAACTCTTACCACCCCCCACCACACACAAGTACACAGTATAGTATAGTCATAACACTATACACTGTGTCCATGTTCTTAGTCAAAGTACACAGTTTAGATTTTGAACAGCTTTTCTGTAGTTTATATTTGCCATGGCAAATATAAACTACAGAAAAGCTGTTTTTTTTGTTTTTTTTTTATTGAAAGCTGTGTCACATGTAACAAAACAGTACAAATTGACAAGAGAGAAAAAACCAACTTCCAATCAACATTTTTTTCTATTTTAACCCAATCCCCATCTCCAAATTAGAGAACTCAGTAATTAACCAGTCAAAACAGATATTGTTTACCAATAAACTAGATAGAGTATGTATGTCAAAACAAATGATATCACAAATTACAAACTAAATAAAAAGTAACAATAAATAAATGATTAAAAAATATTTAAATAAATAAAAATAATTAAAAAAAGGTAAATGAAAAAAGGGGAGGGGGAGACTCAGTCATCACAACTAGGCAGAGATGTCATAGATCTAATATAATTTAAAAGAGGACTCCAAGTATCTTCAAAGGAGTTTAAGGAACCTTTAAGGGAGAATCAAAGCTTTTCAAGTTTAATAAGTATTTCTTTTACCCATCTATTATGAGAAAGAGTTGAGGTCGTTTCCATTTAAGGAGWATGATCCGCCTGGCTAGCAAGGTGGCAAAGGCAAAAACTACCTGCATATTTTTCAAGGTAAAGGGCTGTAGGGGGACACCGAACAAGGCCAAAAGAGGATCAGGAGAGATAGTTAAATTATATGCAAATCTAAGAGTTTTGAAAATTTCAGACCAAAATGTGGTAAGTTTGGGACAAGAGCAAAACATGTGGGAGTGGTCTACTGGGGACAGTTTGCATCTATTACAAGAGTTAGTTACATTAGGGTAAATACGAGATAACTTCAGATTAGTATAGTGGATTTTACGTACAACTTTACAT